TAATCAAAATCTAGAAATGAATCAGAGTGTGTGTCCTAATTGGTGAACGTATGCACTAGTGTAACATTGTGGGGACCAGAGGCATGTTAGAGAAACTGTGAAACACACTTAGTCCTCAATACACACACAGTACGGTCTGACATAGTGGGGACCGGAACCCTTGAGTACTGCTGTCTAACTAATATATATTTTTTTATTTTCAGCTTATATTGAAGGATGACCATATGACAGAGGAAGAGAACTGCTCTGCTCCAGTACGTGACCCACAACTTTGATGAGGTGTGTTTAATGTTGTTGTTATTATTATTATTAGTAGTAGTAGTAGTAGTAGTTGTAGTAGTTGTTGTTGTAGTAGTAGTGCATTTAATTGTAATTATTTTCTTAATCAAAATCTAGAAATGAAATAGAGTGTGTGTCCTAATTGGTAAACCCATGCACTAGTGTAACATTGTGGGGACCAGAGGCATGTTAGAGAAGCTGTGAAACACACTTAGTCCTGAATACACACACAGTACGGTCTGACATAGTGGGGACCGGAACCCTTGAGTACTGCTGTCTAACTAATATATATATTTTTTATTTTCAGGTTTGCTGAAGTATGACCGTATGACAGAAGGAGAGAACAGCTCTGCTCCAGTACGAGACCCACAACCCTCTGATGAGGTGTGTTTATTAATATTGTTGTTGTTGTTGTTGTTGTTATTATTATTATTATTATTACTAGTTGTTGTAGTAGTAGTAGTAGTAGTTGTTGTTGTAGTAGTAGTAGTGCATTTAATTGTAATTATTTAACTTAATCAAAATATAGAAATGAAACAGAGTGTGTGTCCTAATTGGTGAACGTATGCACTGACTTTGTGGGGACCAGAGGCATGTTAGAGAAGCTGTAAAACACATTTAGTCCTGAATACACACACAGTACGGTCTGACATAGTGGGGACCGCGACCCTTGAGTACTGCTGTCTAACTAATATATATATTTTTTATTTTCAGCTTATATTGAAGGATGACCATATGACAGAGGAAGAGAACTGCTCTGCTCCAGTACGAGACTCACAACTCTCTGATGAGGTGTGTTTAATGTTGTTGTTATTATTTTTATTAGTAGTAGTAGTTGTAGTAGTAGTTGTAGTAGTTGTTCTTGTAGTAGTAGTAGTGCATTTAATTGTAATTATTTAATTTAATGAAAATCTAGAAATGAAACAGAGTGTGTGTCCTAATGTATGAACATATGCACTAGTGTAACATTGTGGGGACCAGAGGCATGTTAGAGAAGCTGTGAAACACACTTAGTCCTGAATACACACAGTAATGTCTGACGTAGTGGGGACCGGGACCCTTGAGTACTACTGTCTAACTAAAATATATATATATATATATTTTTTTTCAGCTTTTATTGAAGGATGACCATATGACAGAGGAAGAGAACTGCTCTGCTCCAGTAGGAGAACCACAACTCTGAGGTGTGTTTATAATAATAATAATAACAATTATTTTTATTATTATTATTATTATTATTATTATTAGTTGTAGTAGTGATAGTAGTTGTTGTTGTAGTAGTAGTGCATTTAATTGTAACTATTTAACTTAATCAAAATATAGAAATGAAACAGAGTGTGGGTCCTAATTGGTGAACATATGCACTGACATTGTGGGGACCAGAGGCATGTTAGAGAAACTGTGAAACACACTTAGTCCTGAATACACACAGTAAGGTCTGACATAGTGGGGACCGGGACCCTTGAGTACTGCTGTCTAACTAATATATATATATATATATATATTTTTTTTTTTATTCAGCTTTGATTGAAGGATGACCATATGACAAAGGAAGAGAACTGCTCTGCTCCAGTACGTGACCCAAAACTCTCTGATGAGGTGTGTTTAATGTTGTTGTTATTATTTTTATTATTAGTAGTAGTAGTAGTAGTTGTAGTAGTTGTTGTTGTAGTAGTAGTAGTGCATTTAATTGTAATTATTTAACTTAATCAAAATATAGAAATGAAACAGAGTGTGTGTCCTAATGTATGAATGTATGCACTAGTGTAACATTGTGGGGACCAGAGGCATGTACCAGAGGCATGTTAGAGAAACTGTGAAACACACTTAGTCCTGAATACACACAGTAAGGTCTGACGTAGTGGGGACCGGGACCCTTGAGTACTACTGTCTAACTAATATATATATATTTTTTTTTTTATTATTCAGCTTTTATTGAAGGATGGAAGGATGACCATATGACAGAGGAAGAGAACTGCTCTGCTCCAGTAGGAGACCCACAACTCTGATGAGGTGTGTGTATAATAATAATAATAACAATTATTATTATTATTATTATATTATTATTATTATTAATATTATTAGTTGTAGTAGTAATAGTAGTTGTTGTTGTAGTAGTGGTGTATTTAATTGTAATTATTTAACTTAATCAAAATATAGAAATGAAACAGAGTGTGTGTCCTAATTGGTGAACATATGCACTGACATTGTGGGGACCAGAGGCATGTTAGAGAAGCTGTGAAACACACTTAGTCCTCAATACACACACAGTAAGGTCTGACATAGTGGGGACCGCGACCCTTGAGTACTGCTGTCAAACTAATATAATTTTTTTTATATTCAGCTTTTATTGAAGGATGACCATATGACAGAGGAAGAGAACTGCTCTGCTCCAGCACGTAACTCACAACTCTGTTATTGCATATCAGATTTAACGAACCGTTTACTACGGATTTCATGTAATTTTGATAACTGTGCATTAATCAGATGTCATCAAGCTGCTGTGCCGTCAGCCAATCGTTGTATTGCTGATAATGATTTTGAGGATCGATAGATCTGTCACAACACACAGTCACAACACCTCTCAGATCAGTTTAATCTGATTCGCAAACTTTTTTGAAGAACCAAATTAGCCTAAGATGAGTTATCAAGATTAAAAGATCCAGGATCTGTAATATATTCTTAGATTATTTAAGCGAGGTCCGAAGAACAGACCCCTGGACCCTTGAGTACTACTGTCTAAATTATATTTTTCAAAATAAAAATTATAAATTATATATAAAAATATATAAAATATTTTTTTATAAAATATTTATAAAATTATATATAAAATATATATTTTTAATTATATACAGTTGAAGTCAGAATTATTAGCCCCCTTGTTTATTTCTTGTACTAAATTTCTGTTTAATGGAAAGCAGATTTTTTAAACACATTTCTAATCATAACAGTGTTAATAACTCACCTCTAATAACTGATTTATTTTCTCTTTGCCATGATGACAGTAAAAATTATTTGACTAGATATTTTTCAAGACACTTCTATACAGCTTAAAGTGACATTTAAAGGCTTCACTAAGTTAATTAGGGTAACTAGGCAAGTTATTGGAGGGATAATAATATTGACCTTAAAATGGTTCATAAAAAATTAAAACTGCTTTTATTCTAGCTGAAATAAAACAAATAAGACTTTCTCCAGAAGAAAAAAATATTATCAGACATACTATGAAAAAATTCCCTGCTCTGTTACACATCATTTGGGAAATATTTGTAAAAAAGTTTTAAAAAGGTGGGCTGACTTCAACTGTATATACTTTCATATATATATATATATATATATATATATATATATATATATATATATATATATATATATATATATATATATATATATATACATACAGTTGAAGTAAGAATTATTAGACCCCTTGGAATTTTTCTCTTCTTTTTTAAATATTTCCTAAACGATGTTTAACAGAGCAAGGAAATTTTCACAGTGTGTCTGATAATTTTTTTTTCTTCTGGAGAAAGTCTTATTTGTTTTATTTTGACTAGAATAAAAACAGTTTACATTTTTTTAAACACCGTTTAAGGGACAAAATTATTAGCCTCTTTAAGCTATATTTTTTTCTCGATAATCTACAGAACAAACCATCATTATACAATAACTTGACTAATTACCCTAACCTGTCTAGTTAACCTAATTACCCTAGTGAAGCCTTTAAATTTCACTTTAAGCTGTATAGAAGTGTCTTAAAGAATATCTAGTCTAATATTATTTACTGTCGTCATGGCAAAGAGAAAATAAGTCCATTATTAGAAATGATTATTAGAAATAGTTATTAAAACTATTATGTTTAGAAATGTGTTGAAAAAAATCTTCTCTCCGTTAAACAGAAATTGGGGAAATAATAAACAAGCTGTCTAATAATTCAGGGGGGCTAATAATTCTGACTTCAACTGTATATAAAGAGTTTCATTGCAGAACGAGATATATCCATTTAAAAAAATGTTGGTAATTTTGACATTATTTTTCAGGACATCAACAGTCAAGTTCATTCACAATTTTTGTACATTAAACTATAACTTGAGCTCAGTGAAGGCCAGGAACACAATATTTTCAAATCCATGATATTTTTCATTTAATTTTATGTCTATAATTAAGTAAAAAAAAACATGCCAAAATGCTACATATTAATCCAACCCACATTGTCAAACATGGAATAATATATGCAAAGATTGATTAATAATAATAAGATTCTAAGTTAGATTTGGCCAGAATGTACACAACATAACATAACATAACTTTTTTTTTTTTTTTTTTGCAAAACGCTACATCCACCTTAGGCTATATTATACTACATTAATACCATTACCAAAAGCTAGTGAATCAATGTTTTGTTTGATAAGTAAGATTAAGTTAGTTAGATAAATGACCTTTAGCTTGGTACAGAAAGAGTGGGGGGCGGCTCCTTCCACACCGCTGCAGAAAACCAAACCTGTATGATTAGAGCGGGCGGAGCTGAGTCCATGACACAAACTTGCCTCGCTATGTCATATTTAATGAATTATTTCACTGTAATAATAATAATAGCTTATTTATTTGGTTGTGAAAAAGCTAAACCGTTTTCTCCATAACAACATGTGCCCTTTAAGTTCCTTTGTAATAAATCAACAACAACAAGAATTAATTTTAAATAATATGTGCAACCACATAAATAAATCTTCAGATAGGCTACTCAGCTACATTTAAGAAATTATTTAAAAAATAAACTTATAAAGAACACTTGCAGACAGGTATCTTGTGATGGGGAGTAGGAAAAAAGGCGCTCCTAGGCCTTCTCTTGACATCAGCGGAGACTCGTTCCCTGCTGCATTTGTGTATTGTTGACGCAGAAGTATCTTATATTGGTCCACTTTTGTGGCCTTTTTATAATTTTTTGTGAAGTTGAAGACTTCATCTTCTATCGCTAAATCAATGAGCAAACTCTGAGCACTTCACCGGCGATGACTCTCTTCCCAGGGGATGCTGAGCTCGCGCCGCATCCTGAACGCTCTCTAACTGTTATATCGCACTTTGTAAAGAAACTGGTCTGACGGATATTGCGTTTTGTGAAAAAAAATACGTTTTGTACTTGGCCTAAAATGTGCATTCTTAAATGTTATTAATGGCAGCAATTCACACATAGATTAAGGTACATCTGAACAGTGATTTCCAATAATAAAATCCAAATGTCAAAAAATGCCGTTTATCGCATTTTGCAACCAAACTCTTCATATGTATGTGTGTGTTATGACTGTATGACTGCAGAAGAGAACTGCTCTGTTCCCACAACTCAGTTTTTCTGGGACTTGAAAACAGACGCTCAGCAGATTTTAAAGGGTGGAATCTTGATCAAATCGTGGGTTTACACACAAACATGTAATACAGTGCCAGATTTTCTGGATGTTATATACACATTTGTATTTGCAAACATATACCATATTGTTTTAAATGATGTATTTTTGTGTGGGTTTTTACATTCAGAGAAAGTTACAGTGGATCGTGATTTTGGAGGAGGTGAAGTCCAATCTAAAAGGTAAAAATATTATTTATTTTTCTGATCAGAATTTTTCTTTTTTCAGAATGTTTATTTTTATCATGATATGTATGTGCTATGTTTGAAAACTATTTTTAAGCTACCATCACACGCTTTTACCCATTAAAAAGAACAACACAAAATTAAATAAATATTTTGGTAAGCTTTATGCAGAGAAGTCAACTCTCAGACTTGATTTTTACTTTCAGAGTCCCCTCAAGTATCATCACCATGGTACAGTGTCTGTGAAGATAGTGAAGCAGACCCAGCATTCACAAAAAAGAGAGGTATGATCATTAAAGTTAATTTGTGACTGACTTGTGTTATTGTACAAGTCCAAATGCACAAGCTCATTTACATAACATGTACGGTAAAACAGGACAGAAGCACATTACTTCCATGATGATTTCAGTACAGGTGCACTTGATGTCTCATTTCATGTTAGTTAAACAATATTGCTAAATACTTTGGAAAAATATACTAATTGCATATCTGGTTACACTTTATTTTGATAATTTACTTTACTACTACTACTACTACTAACTACAAGTAACTGCAACTACTTGTCAACTAACAGCCATTAGACGGTCTGTTAGAATCAACACTGCTAATGCTCTACTAAATTTATATAAGAATTAGTCATATTGTACTAATTTTGAGCGTAACCTAACAGTCTGCTGTACTATTTACTGAGACCAATGAGAGTTGGTTTTATTGAGGTAACCTTAACTGTCAGCTAATACTCTACACTCTAAAATTAATAAAAATAAGTAATAATAATTAAATTAGCAGTTTTTCATAATTTGTTTTTATGAAATCTGTTTGTTTCTGCTTTTGAATTGCATTATGGGATCTTGATCTTTCTTCCAACAACTTTTAATCTTAAAAATTAAAAAAAAAGTGACTTTTTGTTTGGTTTGTTGTTGTATATTATGCTACAGAAACCTTGTAATAAACTGCCGGTACATTTTCTGTTATTCTAAAGACTTATTTATCTCTATATATTATTTCTTATACATTATATTATTTCAAACTACTAAAATGTCAGTAAAAGTCACTTTGTTAAACTGTAGAGTTGAATTTTCAACATCAAAAGTGCACAGAGCAGAGATCAACATCCCATAATGCAATTCACCACCACAAAAAAAAAAAAAAAAAAACACTTGTAAATCACAAAATACAGGAACTGGTAATGAACAGATATCTGTTACAGTGTAGTGTTTTGAGCTAAACTTGAGCTAACAGTCTGCTAATACTCTACTGATAATCAGATGAGCGTTAGTCTTATTGAAATACTCTAATACATAATACTTTACGGTGAGATAATTAACGTAGTTGCAGAGTTACGCATAGTTAGAAGAATGTCTAAACTGGACTATGGAATAAAGTGTAACCCCATTAACCAGTTTTGGAGTTATTAGGAAGTATTTTTTAATCCATCTCCATCTTAAGTATTTTTAATAATAGGCAAGACATATTTTTCTAGCATTTTCTGTCACAATATTAAACTAACATAACAGCACATGTTGTAAAAATGACTGAACATTTATGCAACTAAAACCTCTTTTTTATATTTTAACCACCCATAGGTCCCATAAAGAGAAGATCCTGGAGCAAACAGGAAGTGCATGCTGTGGTGAAAGCTGAACCATTGGCTCTAAAAACCAGAGATCAGCTTTGGATTTTTATATTAAAAACTGAATCTCGGCTCTTTAGATAAAAAATCTGAATAACACTTTTATAGTAAGTATACACTATACATCATTAGTTTAGCACTAACTCTACATTAATAGACTTTAGGAAGCAGTTTATAAATACAGCTTCAAACGCTGTATTCTTGACTTGACTTAATTGTATTTTCATGCTTTGTTACTGATTCATTTTTCATCACTATATTATGTATTGCATTATTTACAAACTATTTGTATATAAGAGTAGTTGGTGGTTTTTAAGATAATTCAGAATGAGTTATTAAATGATTAATAAACTATTCAAATGAACATTTATACATGTTATATTCAGGCATGTAGTAATTGTAACCATGTGTGTTAGTAAATGCTATAATAACACAACTTCATGCAGTTTTGTGACCTAAGGACTGTTTATAGTTGATAAATCCCTTATAAATGTCAATTTAAGGCTCAGTATCTAATGAACAATAAATCTTTGCAATCTTATTTAAAAAATTCTGTAAAGTTTAAACATTGCAAAATAAAAATACAACATCATTTCAAAACAACAATTAACAATATGGCAATATTCATTTCAGTGTTTCTGTGATGTTTGCACTGTACAGTAATTTTATATTTTGATAAGATTGCAAAGATTTATTTTTCATTAGATAGTTTCATTTGTGTATCTTGAAATTAATGGAAAAAAAAAAATATATATATATATCTTCTTTGGCCTTAGTCCCGTATGATTGCGGGGTCGGCTCTTTTTGGAACAAGTCCTTCAGTTTTAGACTTGTCCATATGATAACGACTTTTTTACACCTTCCGGCCAGCCTGTCATATGGGCCTGTCACACTCATACACTAGGGACAATTTAGCCTTCCCAATTCACCTGTAGCATGTCTTTGGACTGTGCCTTTGCACCCGGAGGAAACCCACACAAATGCAGGGAGAACATGCAAACTTCTCACAGAAATGCCAACTGAACCGAGGTTCAAACCAGTGACCCAGCGACCTTCTTGCTGTGAGGCGACAGCACTACCTACTGCGCCACTGCTTCACCATATATATATATATATATATATATATATATATATATATATATATATATATATATATATATATATATATATATATATATATATATATATATATATATATATATATAAAGCTATAAATCACTCCCCCTTTTAATTTATTTCTTTTTTTCTGTGTAGAATATAGCTGAGATTTTAATTTTCATTTATAAGGGATTTATAAAGCATCAATAGTCCTCACTTTAGATTAGCTCACAAAACTGCATGAAGTTGAGTTTATAAAGCATTTATTATTAGACAGAGTAACCATTACTATATGCCTGATTATTAAGATATATAAATGTTGGGTAACACTATAATAACTGCACACAATGAATTATTTATGAAACATTAGCAAATAGTTAGTTGAACGTTTGTTAAGCATTAACGCTACATTAATAGACATTAGTAAGCAGTTTATAAATTATATTTATAAATATAAATTACAAATATTATTGACTTATAAGCACAATTATAATGTGCTTAATGATTGTTTTCATACTTGGTAAATAATGCAATACTTAATTTAGTAATGAAAAATACATTATTAACAAACCAGATATTTAAAAGTAGTAGGTGTTTTTTTTTTAGATAATTCAGAATGTGCAAGTAAATGATTAATAAACTATTCAAAATAACATTGATAATTCTTATTATTCAGGCATATAATAAGTTGTTTAGTATGTTAATAAATGCTTTATGAACTCAACTTTATGCAGTTTTGTGATCTAATCTAAAGCGAGGACTATTCATGCTTTATAAATCCATTATAAATGACAATTTAAGGCTCAGTTACATTATATACAGGAAAAAAATGACTATTAATTTCTACTTATTACAAGATTCTCAAATGAAACTGTATCAAATGAAAAGTAAATCATTGCAATCTTGTCTAAATATAAAATTGCTTTACACGTAATGTATTGTTAAATTATTATATTGTTGTTTTATCAAATGATGTTGTATTTCGACACTCCTGTTATTCAGCAATGTTTAAAATTTACAGTAATTGTATTTGTTTAGGTACGATTGCAAATACTTATTGTTTATTTGATACACAGTAGGTAGTGCTGTCACCTCACAGCAAGAAGGTCGCTGGTTCGAGCCCTGGCTGGGTCGGTTGGCATTTCTGTGTAAAGTTTGCATGTTCTCCCTGTGTTGGTGTGGGTTTCCTCCAGGTGCTCCTACTTGCGGTACAGGTGAATTGGGTAGCCTAAAATGGTCCGTAGTAAATGAGTGTGTATGTGTATGGATGTGTCCCAGGGATGGGTTGCAGCTGGAAGGGCATCCGCTGCATAAAAACGTGCTGGATAAGTTGGTGGTTCAATCCGCTGTTGCGACCCCGAATTAATAAAGAGAGAAAATCAAAATGAAAATAAATGAATAAATGAATGATTCTGAGCCTTTAATTGTCATTTATAAGGGATTTATAAAGCATCAATATTCCTCACTTTAGATTAGATCTCAAAACTACATGAAGTTGAGTTAATAAAGCATTATTTAACATGCAGAAAAACGTATTATATGCAGGGCTCCAAACTGGTTCAAGGAACGGAAACGAAAAACAGAATCAAATGACATTTTTCAGGAACAGAAACGAAAACCGAAAAAAAAAGATCAACTTTAATCGTTCTGAACAGAAATGTTTACAGTTAAACGGTTAATAATGTTATTTTATCGTTCTCTTTATTATATTATTTTTGGGAGACAAAAAGCATTAATTTAAAGCATGTGAACAAATGCGACGGTGACGCTCGTTTTTATATAAACTATTAATGTCTGGCCGTGATGCGTATTTAGGCCTATGCCAGTCTATAAAAGATAATGTAGCTTAAAACACTTTAAAATTTTAGAGAACGTAATACAGTTTGCACAACCAATGTTTGGTCTTAATAACCTGCCCATAATTAAACGTCATGTAGCCTACTTTTTGATTACTTGACCAGCGGATTAATGGCAGCACCAGCGGATAAACGAGATCTGAGCATAATAGGTATGACCAATATGTGCATAACCAATATGCAAAGTCAAGAGAGTGCACGACTCCATAGGGTAACGTAGCCTAAACTGCGCACACTTGATTATGTAATGTGTGAAATCGTGGACGCATCTCAAAGAGCAAAGCATAACTTATTAAATGCCCATGCTTAATCGGTCATCGATAAGGTCTATCGGTTTTAAAGGGTTACCGACAATAAATCAATCGAGTAATCGTTAGCATCCCTAGTTTAATCAATGAATGTGTTAAATTTTATATTTATATTAAAGATGAATAAGGCAAGAATATGATAATGATACTTTTTAGATTTTTACACCTACAAAAATATCTTGTGGTAGTGCACTTGTTTAATAAAAATCTTTGTAAATAGGTTATCTGTAAAAAACGCAATCAGAGCCAATGACATGTAGAAGTAGTGTTGCCTAAACGGCTATTAAATTTCTAATAAAATTAAAACCAAAGTATAAATCATTGCATTTTTCGTTTGATAAAAATATACAGAAACGAAATAAAATCATAAGGATGCTAGTTTGTAATTTATGTTAATAATAAATAAATAACATGCTTAGACTATAAGCTTAACGGCTATACGCTGCCAAAAGGCCATTAATAAATATTATTTTACTTTGTACTGGATTATAATGTATATTTTACTATAAAAACTAAATATAGCATGTCTTACTGTCATTTAAAACAAGTAATTCAAAATACACATCAGAACTGTAGACCTGCAGTGTGTAAACTGTATACAGGGGGTGTTGGTCAATCAATAGCCTACAGCACATAATTGAACTAATTATGATGCTAACTGTAATTTAGCTCTTAATATAGGCCTACGATATATTTTCTGGTGTTTAATTTTGCATGAGCAAATAGCAGTATAGCCTAAAGTAAATTTTTTAAAAAGATTTTACTAATATTAATAATAATGGATATAATAAATTTAAATAATAATTGCACTGTGCAGTGTACTAAATATTTGTATTAGGCTACATAACTGAAAAACTATTTCATAACAATTTTCATAATTTTTACTGCTATTTCATATTATACAACATCTAAATGTAGCGCCGGGCCTGCGCTCGATACCAAGGAGGGGGGCTGTGTGTAGAGTGAACCGATTGGATTTTCTTTTTTTTTTTTCTTTTTTTTTTAGCCCTGATTATATGCCTGAATAGTAAATGTATAAATGTTCATTTATATAGTTTTTTAATTATTTATTTACTCATTCTTAATGATCTTAAAAAACACCAATTATTCTTAGACAGTTTGTAAATAATGCAATACTTCATTTAGTTATGAAAAATGAATTATAAACAAAGTATGAAAACACAAAAATTGAGCACATTATACATGCTTATAAGTCAACAATAGAGCATCTAGCTGTGTTTATAAACTGCTTACTATTAATGTAGAGTTAATGCTTAACAAATGATGTCTATTTGGAGTTTTGGTGGCTTGGTTATATGATGAAGGTCTCTTTGCATTTGTGGGGTTCAGTTCTTTATTAATATATTTTAAAATATTTTTAATGTTTTTTTTTTTAAATAGTTAAAATACGACAGAAACAGAAATAGAACATACTGGTGGGTTTTAAGAGTTTACCCAAAAATGTACATTATATTATTAATTACTTGCCCTCATCTCACTCTAATCCCCTGAGACCTTCATTCTTCTTCAGACTCAAAGGAAGATAACTTAGATGAAGTGCAAGAACTCCTCATCCTCCATAGACAGCAAGGGATTGAAACAATTTGAAGGAGAGGAATTAATAAAAGAATCTTCATTTTGAGGTGAACTAACCGTTTAATATTATTTGCTATTGCACTTAACTAAATGTGCACGCAGACATGGAAGAGTTATGTGGAAGCTTGTTATACCCAATGAGAACTGCTTTTAGACATGCAAGAGAGTTTCATGGATTTTGTGTTTACTGTTTTTTTTTGTGTTTAAAGGTTTTGTGGAAATTATTTATAATAAATATAACATTTATTAAATCTATTCTGGACCATTTCCTGTTTGGATCTTGAGGTTCCTTCTGTATTCAAATTACATTTTTTATAAACTGACCTGCTCTTCAAATGAAAATTTTAAAGCAGTTTATTGTCAAATTACTTGATTGAGGTTTAAAATTTAATATTAGTAAGGGTGCTGATCTGATCCCCACGTTGCCTAAAAACCGGTAATGTGTGTGTAGAACTGGTCCTTACTTTGACTAAAAAACGGTAATGTGTGTGTAGATCTGGTCCTTACTTTGACTAAAAAACGGTAATGTGTGTGTAGATCTGGTCCTTACTTTGACTAAAAAACGGTAATGTGTGTGTAGATCTGGTCCTTACTTTGACTAAAAACCGGTAATGTGTGTGTAGAACTGGTCCTTACTTTGACTAAAAAACGGTAATGTGTGTGTAGATCTGGTCCTTACTTTGACTCAAATCCAGTGATGTGTGTGTAGATCTGGTCCCTACTTTGACTCAAAACCAGTGATGTGTGTGTAGATCTGGTCCTTACTTTGACTCAAAACCAGTGATGTGTGTGTAGATCTGGTCCTTACTTTGACTCAATACCGGTAATGTGTGTGTAGATCTGGTCCTTACTTTGACTCAATACCGGTAATGTGTGTGTCGACCTGGTCCTTACTTTGACTCAATACCAGTAATGTGTGTGTAGATCTGGTCCTTACTTTGACTCAATACCAGTAATGTGTGTGTAGACCTGGTCCCTACTTTGACTCAATACCGGTAATGTGTATCTGGAACTGGTCCTTACTTTGTCTCAAAACCAGTAAAGTGTGTGTAGAATTGGTCCCCACTTTGTCTAAAAATCGGTTGTGTATGTGGCGGACCCCACTTCTACACAAAACCTGAAATGTCCCCACAAGTGACCACTGTGTCAGGTCTAAAAATAAAATTGCAGAATATCCAAAATCTGAAGTGATTTTATGAAATAGTTTGTGTTTTTGTGTGGCAAACTATTTTTTTTATGTCTCTAACATCATCAGAAAGGGCGGTCCCCATTATGTAACCACCGTGACAGGTGACCCCCACAATGCACAAAAACAAGTATGTGTGTGCGTGTGTGTGTGTGTGTATATATATATATATGGATTGCTAGTGTCTTTGTTGTATTACATATACAGTATCTGTCACTTTACTCACAGCCAGAGCTGGACAAATTACTTCCGAAATATAATACACTGAAGCAAATTCCCTTTAAGGCAAGTCATTTCACTCAGCGGCCATCTTTAAAACGCCTCTCATGGCAGTATGTTCGGGCATTCTGTTTGAATGGGGAAACATACATTCTCCAAAACTGCTTGCCAAGCTCATGATTACATTACATATTAGGAATCACCAATAAAATTAAACAACAACTGTCTTTGTCTCATTTCCAAAAGTCCTAATTACACAAAATCTGCAGAAACGCATGTCTGGTTCGAGCCCCTCCCCCAGAGTATTGTCACCCTATAGCGATCAATGCTTGGCTCCTGTACTAGAAGGCGAGCTTTATTCGCAATATAGCAATCGATGATTGGCTCTTGTACTAGAAGGCGGGCTTTAGTCCCAATATTGACCGTTACACTTTCCCTCTTCAAAATGATACGAGTGACATCTCTTGTGTATTCTATAATCTTTGACTCTTCTTTATTACCAGTTGTTGTCATTTAAATGTACTTATTTACAATACAATATTACAATATTCTCATTCATTCATTTTCTTTTCGGCTTAGTTCCTTTATTAATCTGGGGTCGCCACAGCGGAATGAACCGCCAACTTATCCAGCATATGTTTTACACTGTGGATGCCCTTCTAGCTACAACCCATCACTGGGAAACATCCATACACTCTCATACACACACATACATCGATGAATGAGTGAGTGTATGGGTGTTTCCCAGTACTGGGTTGCGGCTGGAAGGGCATTCGCTTTGTAAAACATATGCTGGAATAGTTGACGGTTCTTTTCACTGTGGCGACCCCTGGCAAGTAAGTGACTAAGCCTAATAAAAATAAATGAACAAATGAAACTTTATTGTAAAGTGTCACCTGATAATTTCTATAATTAATAGTCTAACAAATAAAACATATTTTGTTACACTAAGAAAAGTTACCAAAGCAACAAAACCAACCCACTTTCTTGAGCCTGAAAACTCAAGAAGTTTGTTCAAAAACCCAAACCGGCCTTATGCAACAGGCCTCTGATCTGACCCGTGCAAGAGAATCACATTTATTTAGAAAACAATGACATATCATTAAAGTGATGCCCAAAAGACTCTCCTTTTAGAAATGATAATGTTGTGCTAGGTAAAAGCACAGCATTCAGACCTAATTTCTCTAGTCTTCTTGCAGTCCAGCTGACTGCTGCATCTATTCCTTGTCCAAGTAAACACAAGCGCACAGATCCAATGGGAGCATCAGCATTGTCCTGGATGACACATTGCCAACATAAAACTAACTGTAGGCTAAGCGCTTCCAGACCACAGCTGTAATGCTTTTCCTCAGTTATATCTTCTGCTTCAATCGCTGTCCAGAATACCAACTAGGTGAAATACATGCGGTGGGCTCAATGACAGCCAAGTATGTGTGTGGCAGACTTTATAAGCAATGAATTGCATTTATGGTTCAATAAGAATTACGGGCTTGTGCCATAGAGAAATGAGACGCAGAAGGGAGAGGCCGTCAGTTTGATGTCAGACTTGAGGAAAGTTGTTTAAGGTCATGGGTTTGAGTCTTAAACCTCGCTTTCTCATTCCTTCCCTCTTTACATAAGCGCCATTGTGTTTTTCGGTGATAAAATCAGGAGGAAGGAATGTTTGGGGCTGATTCAAAAATGTAAATAGCATTTTAATTGACAAAAAAATGTGTTATATGTTGACTCAGAGAAGCATGCTTTTGTGTGTCTACGCTGATTTGTTGTGTAAGACTGTGGTTGAGTCTGATAAGTGAGTGATATATGAAATAACTTGACATGTTGGTTCTCTGAAGGGAGCAAATTAATGCTTCGTTATTTGACGGAAATTCCCAGTACTGGGTTGCGGCTGAAAGGGCAATCGTTGTGTAAAACTGACACTCACTTATTAGGTACACCGCTCCAACTGCTAATTAAAGCAAATTTCTAATCAGCCAATCAGATGTAAGCAACTCAACGCATTTAGAAACATGGTCAAGACGATCTGCTGGAGTTCAAACCGAGCATCAGAATGCAGAAGAAAGGTGATTTCAGTGACTGGATGTGGCATGGTTGTTGATGCCAGACGAGCTGGTCTGAGTATTTCAGAAACTGTTGATCTACTGGGGTTTTCATGCACAACCATCACTATGGTTAACAGACAATGGTCCGAAAAGTGGCAGTTCTGTGTACGCAAATGCCTTGTTGATGCCAGAGGAAGGAGGAGAATGGCCAGACTGGTTCAAGCTGATAGAAAGGCAACAGTAACTCAAAGAACCACTCATTACAACAGAGATATACAGAAGAGCATCTTTGAACACACAACCTGTCCAACCTTGAGGCAAATGGGCTAAAGTAGCAGAAGACCACACTGGGTGCCACTGCTGTCAGCTAAGAACAGGAAACTGAGGCTATAATTTGCACAGACTCACCAAAATTGGACAATAGAAGATTGGAAATACGTTGCCTGATCTGATGAGTCTCTGATAAATAAGGGACAAGGTCAAAGAAAAATGGATGGATGGATATTATTATGGTAGTAATTACAGGTTTATTTTCCCACCATACTGTGCGTGCTCACCTTTTTTTGCCGGGTGTGTTGTTGGGTGTTATTAGCCAGGCCTGTGTCCACATTATTTTGGATTCAAGGCCTCGGAGAAGCTGTCTGGGTCTGTAACATCACAGAAAGGAGCATGATGAAGTGTTTTGGTGTGAATCAGAGACACACGGAAGGTCAGAGTCTCCTGGATGCATTTATCATCTGAGCGGTTTTCACTTTGTTGTTGAATAAAAGTGCACAGCTGCTGATATATTCAACTGGAATGTCTTTAGAGTTGAATCCAATCAGCAATCGCTCCCATGTTTGAACTCTCTTGGGAAAGAGGTCACGACCGCTAAGTCATGTTTTAAATCTTAATGTACATTAATTTTGGGTGTTTGTGTTATTATTTATGCACTATTGTTGGATTTATTGTAATAATTTTTGGAATTTAGTTTTATTTTTTATGTTCAGTTCCTTTTATGTTTCTTTTTATCATTGTAATGTTTTAAAGTTACATTTATTTGGCAATTCAACTTGAAACCATGGAAAACTGCTGAAATTGTTTTATTTTGCTAAAACCTGTTGTCATATTGTATACGCGAATAAACTCAGGTCTTGATGGCATCCCTTCAAAAAAGAAGATTTGGCTTCATTTAAAATGATAACAGAAATATCTTTACACTGCTCAGTAGAGTGTACTTTTCAAAGTAACAATAAAAAAACAATTAGTTTAAACACACTGAAACTCAAACATCACTATAACCTGTCAAACTTGAAGAAATTCTACTAATGGGGAGTTTTTGTTATATGCTGTATTTGTAAGTATTTTTTTATGTTTAATTTGTAATTTGTACACTATACTAGTCAAATAAAAAATAATAACATTATTATTATTATTAATAATAATAATAATAATAATAATAATAATAATAATAATAATAATAATAATAATAATAATAATACAATTTAACTATATTCATTTTAAATTTATAAATCAATAAAATAAAATAAATTGTAGTTGGTGAAAAAAAGTTTTTTTTACGTGTGATTTAAAATTTGATCTGCTCCTGTGTTAAACAGCCCCTATTATGAGTTTTTGAAAATGACCATCCATGCAGTGTATAACACAGCTCTAAGTGAACAGAAACATCCAGCTTGAGGTTAAATCTGAAAGTGCACCAAGTGTTTAAAACTATTGATTCTATTTAGTCAGCTCAGAGTCAAATGAATGATTCCTTCTTTGTTCGGATCTTTTGCATGCATGCATCAACGTTGATTTGGGACATCACCAAATATGTAGTGCCGGATCCAGCAAAACGCGAACGCCTTTTCAGACACTAGCAGAGTGCGAGGGATCATGGGATTGATTATGA